TACAAGCCTTAAAAAGACCTTTTAGATCTTGAGTGAGCTGAAAGAAATGTTGATTGGAAAATACGAGCAAACATATGGGTGAAAGCATGCATTGTGTTCTTCCTTGTGAGAGTGAGCGTTGAATCTGATTCCGAAGCTTTTAACTGTGAACCATTGTGCAAATATGGAATCATCCTTTCTGTGAGGGCATTTGAACACTATAGTTGAGCTTGAACTTACATTTGAAGCAAGTATCGTGAGCATGAGATTCTTTGATATTGGTGAGTCACAACTTGAATCTTTGAGTGCACATTTGATCTTTGCATAAGTAAATTGAACCTTGTTGTGTGCATTCATGATTGAGTCTTATGTAGCACTGTTTGAGACACCCTTTTTGAACAGCTGAACTTGATAGTTCACATCCCATGAATCCCCCTCTCATTGTTTAGATTCCATTGTTAATTTGCTGTTTTTATTTATTTGTGACAAAACCCCATTTGATATTTGATACTTTGTGTCACCCCCTTTTATTTAGTATGTTTTTACTCGTTAATGTCTTTAGCTACGACTAGTTAGAACTTAATTTTATTTTTCTATAAATTCTCTAAACCACTCTCTTGGGACAATCCCAACCCTTGGTTGAGTTATTATACTATTTCATGATCGTAGATATTTGAATTATAAGTTGCGTCGTTGATTACGCATTTAAAAAACATCAGCTATAGATGAGGTCAAAGTATGATATGCATGATTATGGTGGCCTAAAAGTGGTACTTAGTATTAGATAGGATTATGGAATCTTTTCTATGCATTGTACAAGTATAGCTTAGTGTTGCTTATGAGATGGTTTGACTTATGTATTTACACTAATGTGCATGGTGACTCTTAAATTTGATAAAGTGCATGGTTTCAACTAAGATGTCCCCTTTTACCATGTTTTCAAGGATTTTATGCATGACTATCATACTTGGTGCATTTTTGTACTAACCTATATTTTCTACATTTTTTATAAGTGTAGGGCCTGGTTGTTGAGGTGTGCTTCCTTCTTGGTCAAAGCTTGGATCGATTACTCTCTACGCTTTTGGTGAGTCCTCATGGTTCGAGGACGGAAGTTGTTCATTTCTAGTTTCTTTCTTACATTCTCTTTTGAGACTATGTTATAAAGGGTTGCGACCTTATTTGATACCTCGATTGTATTAGATGACTTATTGAGATAATTTCTAGACTTCCATTTGCTTTATGAAAGACTCCGATTGTAAAGAAAAGTTTTAATTTCACATCATTTCTATTGCTTATGTTATGATATGCTAAGGGCTTGTATAAGACTCCTTTCCGGGGTCGAGTACGTCATGTTACATCTAGGGGGTACCCCTGGGTCGTGACAAAATTAGACCACAAAGTGTTTTTAGTTCTGAAGCTCCACCATAGCTTAGTAAATAAGGCTTTAGACAAATCAAATAAGGACCTAAAACCAATACCTCCTTCTTATTTAGGTAAACAAATGTCATCCCAGGAAATCCAATATTTTGCCCTCCCCTCTTCTTTGAAATACCATAAGAACTTAGCAAATATTTTATGGATATCACATCTGATGAATTTAGGGGGAACCATAACGGACAACAAATATATTGACATACTTTGCAGTACATGCTTAATAAGGACTGACTTATCCCCAAAGCATAACAATTTGCCTTTTCAAACTTGAAGTTTGTTCGGGATCTTCTTAATCAAATCTGTAAAATTATTTATCCTTTTCTTAGCATGAACAATAGGAACCTAAGATACATTAGAGGAAATTTACCTCTTAAAAAATAGTTCGGTCTTCCACCAGCTTCACATATGCATTTTTAGCCTTGTTAGACATGTAGAAGAAACTCTTTTCCTTGTTGATTTTCTGACCAGATTGTGTTTCATACTCATACAACACCTTCATAATTAAATTCAAAGACATCTTCTCTGCAGATGAGAATATAATGGTTATCTGCATATGCTAGATGATTTGAGTTGTCACTCCATTTAGGAATGTCAAAACATTTGAACTCATTACAATAAAACAATTGGTTTAGTGACTTAGTCAAAACTTCAGCAATTAGTATAAATAAAGCAGGTGATAAAGGATCATCCTGCTTTACATATCTTGTGGAATGAAAGAAAGCCTTGATCTTGTCCATCAATGAGAATGAAATATCAGTTATTAGCCACAATTCTCCATACCATATCAATAAATGTATTATCAAAGCCCATATGAGTTAGCACTCTTGTCAGAAACTTCCAATTCTCCCTATCATATGCTTGGTCATATCAAGTTTGATAACAACATTATTAGGTTCCCTCTTCCGTATTTCAATTATAATTTTCTGTGCCAATAAATATTCTCAGGAATATTCCTTCCTTTACAAAACCAGATTGGTTTAGTAAGATTAACCTGGGTAGAACACCTTCTGGTTTATCATGTACAATTCTGCAAATCCCTTGACTAATAAAATCACTTTAACAAATTGGTCTTAGGTCTGAGAAGGTTTGAATAAACTCCCCTTTGGAAGTAAGACCAAGTTAGTATGAGTAATTGATTTTGGTAGAGTGTGACTGTGACACCCCGGATTCGAGACGGGTTAGAAAATAGTTTTCAGAAGTTGCAGGTGCTATCCAACGGAGGCCACCACGGCTGTGGATGGGACCACGGATCGTAGGTGTGGTTCGCGGATGGTCACCCCAACTTCTGGCAGAAGCTTAGACCCACTGCTTGACCAACGGACCATTGGAGGGTCCACGTTCCGTGGTTGAGGGTCCGTAGGTCAAAACCCCTAAATTCATGTTTCTGATGCCAATCGATGGTTGTGTAGGACGGACTGTCGGTCTGTCCACGGTACGTCGGTCAAGGGGTGTCAATGATAGGTCGATAGTTATTTTCAGGGGAAGTTGGGTCTTTTCCTAATTAGTCTAGCCTAATACTATGTCGTTTTACCCTTCACTAAGACCCCTATATAACTATTTTAACCCCCAAATTTCCACAATAGAAATCATTCTCTCAAATTTCTAAAAGAAGAACAAGTCTCCTCTCCAAAATATTTCTCTCTCTAGGAAGCTTAAAGAAGAAGGATTCAACCTAGGGTTTCAAGTCAAGTCTCTATTCCTCCATTGAAGATAAGCCATAAGCAATTGGCTTTGAGGTATGATAGTTTTCATCCATGGATTCCTTCCATTCATGGAGTTCCCAAATTTTCCTATTTTCAAAGTTAGAATTCCTCAATTAAGTTAGGGTTTTCTTCAACTTCCATGGGTTCTCTTGATTATTGATTTAAATGATTGAATTATGATATCTTATGCATGAATTGATGAAATACTCTGATTTTATGATGATTCTCCTATGAAACCATGAAACCCCCATGCTATTTTCAAGTTATGAGCATATGATGTGGGTTTTGATTATGAAAGAGGAGTTTTATTAAATCAAGGATAAATCGAAAGAATTACATGAATTTATGATGGAATCCATATCTAACCTATGTTTTCTAAATGTTGATGCTTGAAAGTGGGATTTGAACCTCGAAAGGTGAATTATGGAATTATGTATGTTCTTATGAAATCTATGTAAATGTTTTAAGGATGCTTTGAGAGTGAAATACCAATGATGAAGTTGTTGTTGTGTTGTTGAAAGGATTTTTCATATACACATGAAAATAAGATTGTGAAATGTTTTCTCATATAGTAAAGGGTTCTAAGGTTGAAAGGTCTTCTCACCTAAAAGAATAAAAGATAAAGAGCTATCCTAATTAAACCTAGCTTGGATTGGTTATTGAATGATACCTTTGCATCGATGACTGATGACTTATATTGAATTGGCAATATGACGTGCCCTTCCATGAGTAATAAGAACAAGAAGAAATGACAATTCTATGGGATTTATGCTTAGCAGAGGATATTGAGATGGAAGCTCTCTCGTTAGTAGAGGCCAGATTTGTAGAAGCAATCTCCTCATCCCTTACCTATGTGTCCCAATAGGATGATTGTCTAGATAGACATTAGCTAGTGGATCCACTTAAGCTAGAAGTTTATCGTCTTTACCTTGGCAAGTAGGACAACCCTTTTCGGTGTGGGAGAGACCAGGGGATCATGTTATAGCTCACATAGTCTCTATGTTGCGTTAAGGCTACTTCCCATAATAATAATGAACTAAAGTTAATTAAAGAAGTATCACACACGTGCTCAAAGGTTTTAAATGATGTTAGCTTGCATTCACAGTGTTTTATGACTTATGTTTTCTAACCTTTCTTATATCATGTTTTAGCTTTGTCAATTTCATGTCATGAAATGTCCTCTTTTAGCATGGTTTAAATGTTTTAGGCATGGCTATCATACTTGGTACATTGTTTTGTACTAATGCATACTCTTTCCTACATTTCCCCAAATGTAGGGTTTGATAGTTAAGGTCCTCAATTTTTTGGCTAGTTATTGATTTCGAGATTTCTGAGCTTTGGTGAGTCCTCATGCTTTGAGGACGGACTTTCACTGTTCTTAGTTTTTGTCTTAACTTTCAGTTTTGGGCATGATGTATGGGATAGGCCCAATTTCATTCTATTGTACTAGATGGATAATGAGACAAGTGTTTTAGACTTCCGCTCTACTTTTATAAAACTTTGGACTTGAAATGTTGTCTTTACTTCTTTTGTTCTATTTCTTATGTTATGAATGCTAAGTGGCATGTATGGAGCCTCTCGGGGTCCTATACGCCATGTTACATCTAGGGTGTACCCTTGGGTCGTGACAAACTTGGTAATTAGAGCTCAAGGTTTAGAATGGTATTAGGATGTATCATAAGCCACGTCGAGTATAGTCTTGTTCATGAGTGTGAAGCGCGCCATATTTATGAATGAGAGGCTACAAGATTTTAGGAAACTTGACTTTTTTCATTACTCTAAAGTCGTGCGATAGAGTTTAACTCTATAAGGTCTCTCTCCTAATCCTTATCCGATGCTCTACAGTATATGCCTACTTGAAGAGCTTATGCTAGAAGGAATGTAATGGAGAATGTGGAACAAAAAGCTGCCCTCTTAGCTCCTGAAGTTCTGGTCCATCCTTTGGCCAAACAAGTCACTAATACGAAGGTTAGGGTTGCTTTTCAAGTATTGGCTCAACCCATGACGACCCAAACCAATAGGGAGGTTGCGGTTCCCGTGAACCCAAATGTGGGTACGGTGGCATCTAGAGTTAAGGACTTCACTAGGATGAATCATATGGAATTTCATGGTTCAAAGGTTGAGGAAGATCCTCAAGAGTTCATTGATGAGGTCTACAATGGGTTTATGATCACGGGAGTGACGCTGGTGGAAAAAGCGGAGTTGGCCGCTTATCAACTTAAGGGTGTGGCTCAAATATGGTACAACCAATGGAAAGAAGGGAGTCCGGAAGATGTGGGTCCTATTGATTGGGAGAAGTTTAAGATTGCTTTTCTTGATAGGTTCTTTCCCCTTGAGATGAGGGAAGCAAAGGTACTTGAGTTCATCAACCTTCATTAAGGAAGTATGAGTTTGAGGGAATATGCTTTGAAGTTCACACAATTGTGTAAATATGCCCCGAAAATGGTTGCCGATTCTAGGGCAAGGATGAGCAAGTTTGTTTTGGCTATTTTTGAAGTGATGGTTAAGCCGTACTCTCATGCTCACTAATGACATGGACATATCTCGTCTCATGGTTCATGCTCAAAAAATCGTAGAGAAGAAACTTAAGGAAAAGTCTAGGGAGACAAAGAGGGCTAAAACCGGAGATGAAATTTCTCTCATGCAAAGTCCGATGGACAAGGTTGTTCTAGATTTCAACAAAGGTTTTCTGGTCAAGGTTCCTCCAATGCTTCTCTTAAGTTCAATAAAGATAGGGTGTCTAACCCTAAGCGTCAAAGAGGGAATGGTAGTGGATCTTCATTGCCTATGTCTACTTGTACTAGGTGTGGAAAGAAGCACGAGGGTAAGTGCCTAGCCGACATGGATGGTTGCTTCGGTTGTGGTAAAAGTGGTCATAAAATGAGGGATTTCCCAATGCTTATGGCTAAAGGAAGAAAGGGCAAGCAAGCTCCTCCTGGTGGTTCGGGTTCCAATGCTTCAAAGCAAAATAGATTTTATGCACTTTAGACTCGTAGTGAATAAGAGGGTTCTCCCGATGTGGTTACCGGTATCTTGAAAAATTTCCAACTTGATGTTTATGCTTTACTTAATACCCGTGCTACCTTGTATTTTGTGGCGCCATACATGGCTATGAGGTTTGATGTTCTTCCGAATGTGTTGTTAGATCCTTTTTCTATCTCTACTCATGTGGGTGATTCTATTGTGGCTAAGAGGGTCTATAGAAAGTGTCCTGTTTCCTTGTCCCATAGATTTACTCTTATTGACTTGGTAGAGCTTGATATGCTAGATTTTGATGTTAGCCTTGGCATGGACTGGTTGCACTCATGTTATGCTTCTATTGATTGTAGAACTCGTGTAGTCAAGTTTCAGTTTCCGAATGAGCCTGTCCTAGAATGCAAAGGGGGTAATTCTATGTCTAAGAGTTAGTTTGTCTCTTGTATTAAAGCTAGAAAGATGATTTCTAAGGGTTGCATTTACCATCTAGTTAGGGTGAGGGATGTAGATTCTGAAACCCCTACTTGAGTCGGTCCCCATTGTTAATGAGTTTTCGGAAGTGTTCCTATATGATTTACCCGGTATTCCTCCCGAGAGGGAAATAGACTTTGGTATTGACTTTCTCGCCGATACGCAACATATTTATATTCCCCCTTACCAAATGGCTCCGGCAGAACTAAGGAGTTGAAAGATTTGTTGGATGAGGGTTTCATCCAACCAAGTTTCTCTCCATGGGGTGCTCCAGTTTTTTTTTGTTAGGAAGAAGGATGGTTCTTTTTGTATGTGTTCTGACTATTTTCAGTTGAACAAGGTGACCATTAAGAATAGGTATCCTCTTCCAAGGATAGATGATTTGTTTGACCAACTTCAAGGGGCAAGTTATTCTTCTAAGATCGACCTTCGATCGGGTTATTACCAATTGAGGGTGAAAGAAGGTGACATTCCGAAGACGGCTTTTCAAACTTGGTACGGTCATTATGAGTTTTTGTTAATGTCTTTTGGGTTGACTATTGCTCCGACGACGTTTATGAATTTGATGAATAGAGTGTTTAGATAGTACCTCAACATGTTTGTGATTGTGCTCATTGATGATATGTTTATCTATTCGAGAAGTAAGGATGATAATATTGATCATTTAAGGATCGTGTTGCAAATTCTTAAGGACCAACAATTCTTTGCCAAGTTTAGAAAATGCGAGTTTTGGTTAAGGTCCGTAGCTTTTCTTGGTCACATTTTTTCAAGTCAGGGTATTGAAGTAGATCCTAAGAAGACGGATGCGGTCGAGAGTTGGCTTAGACCTCTTCAAATATTTGAAGTTTCTTGTGTTTAGCCGGTTACTAAAGAAGGTTTGTTGAGGGGTTTTCTTCGATTGCCTCTCCTTTGACGTCTTTGACTTAAAAGAAGGCTAAGTTCATATGGTCCAAAGCATGTGAGAAGAGTTTCCAAGAGTTGAAGGATAGACTTACTTCTGCTGCGGTGTTGACTTTACCAGAGGAGACCGATGGTTTCGTTATTACTTGTGATGCCTCGAGGATTGGCTAGGGTGTGTACTTTTGCAAAATGGGAAAGTTATTGCCTATGCCTCATGACAAATTAAGATTTATGAGAAGAATTATCCTACCCATGACCTTGAACTAGCGGCGATTTTTTTTGCCTTGAAAATTTGGAGGCACTATTTGTATGGTGTTCATGTAGATGTTTTTACCGACCATAAGAGTTTACAATATGTGTTTAATCAGAAAGATCTAAATCTTTGTCAAAGAAGGTGGCTTGAGTTATTGAAAGATTATGATATGAGTGTTCTCTATCAACCCTGTAAAGCTAATGTGGTGGTGGATGCTCTTAGTCGATTATCAATGGGTAGTGTTGCTCATATTGAAGAAGGTAAAAAGGAGTTGGCTCGAGATGTTCATAGATTGACTCGATTGGGAGTTCAGTTAGTGGACTCTACTAAGGGTGGTGTTATGGTTAACAACGGTTCCGAATTGTCTTTTGTGGCGGATGTGAAAGCCCAGCAAGGTCTTGATCCAATTTTGGTTGACTTAAGGGAAACGGTGATTAAGAAACCGTTGAGGCATTCTCCCAAGGGGGAGATGGTGTACTTAAGATATCAAGGTTGGTTGTGTGTTCCAAATGTTGATGACTTGAGGGAGCAGATCTTGTCAGAAGCCCATAGTTCTCAGTATTCCATTGACACGGGAGCCACCAAGATGTACCGTGATTTGCGGGAGGTCTATTGGCGGAATGAGATGAAGAAGAATATTGCGGGATATGTGGCTAAGTGTCCTAATTATCAACAAGTGAAGGTTGAGCATCAGAAACCGGGAGGTTTGTCCCAAGACATTAGCATTCCTACTTGGAAGTGGGAATATTTGAATATGGACTTTATTGTTGGTTTTCCTCGCACCCGGCGACAACATGACTTAATTTGAGTTATAGTAGATCGGATGACGAAGTTGGCTCATTTTATTCCCATCAAGGTTTCCTATTTGGCGAAGGATTATGTTAAGTTGTACTTAAGAAAAATTGTAAAGTTGCATGGAGTGCCTTTGTCCATTATTTCCAATTGTGGTTGTTGACACCATATTTTGGTTCGATATTTTTAAATACTTTTAAATATTTTTATTTAGTTAATATTTAAATATATTTTTTACAATTTTAATGCAATTTGTTGATAATTATCCTTATTTCTTCAAATTTTAGGATTCTTATCGATTAATTTTGTTTATATTGTTTGGGTTACAATCGGTTTAATACGTTAAAATATTTGTTCAATTTTTTAATTAAATCATTATTTCTGTTAAATTTCATTTTTTTACATGCCATTGGTTATGTTCGTTACATGTTTTAATATTCATTTTATTCGTTACATTTGTTAATATTCATTTTGATATTTTGCACAATCCAGAAATTTATTCAAATATGGATAAGATTTCATAAACACATATTTTATTAACAGGTGGTTTTGGCCCACGGGTTTAAGATATTGGTATTGTACTATTGGTGGTTTTTAATTTTCTATCTAAACATTGTCTTGGTCATTAAGTTAGTGGTGGTGGATGAGATTTTAGGGGTAATTTTCAGATTTTTTAGTCTTCAAAAAGTTATGTTTTATTGTTCATTTTTTTTTTTCTGTCAAGCCGCCGGAATCCGGCGAGTCCACCACCCAAAAACCCCCATTTTTTCCCCTTCTTGTCTTCTCTATCTCACGATACCAGACCACCCAAAATCCTTACCTTTTTTCCGGCGAAACACCCTCTGAACAACAACCAGTAGCTCACCAATGACTCTCTTTTCCCTCTCTTTTCCCTCTCTTTCTCCGTTCTCTTTTCCGGCAAGCTCGGAGCTATCACAAAGCTAGACCACTCTTCTTCGGCAGCAACCCTGCTGCTCTCTTCCTCCTTCCCTTCACCCAAACCACCAACCACGACCAAGCTGTAACCACAAACAACCAACTAAAGCGACCCCAAACCCCGACCAACGGTTCGCTCAGAACAACGGAGGACACGAAACGAACCAGACTCACAACCCACTGGAAAACCACTGTTCGCTCTCCCCTCGTCTCCGATGAAATAGAACCAGTAGCTCCAAATGAACCAGAAGCCACCAAACAACACCCATCTCTAGCGAACAGTCAACAACAACCAAACCAAAACCCCTTTTATTTTCTCTTTCTTTCAAGCAGACAACAACATCAACAACCAGCGACCACCGAAGCAACAAACAAGCTCAAATTAATGACCCAAAACCACCAACAGCAACGGGACAAGCTAACAACTCTGGCAACAACACTCGAAACTATCCAAAACTCCGCTAACCTTTTTTGTTTTTTCTATTTTTGCATATGTTTCATCTATTTGTGTGTATTTTTTGTTGTTTAGTGTTATTGTTTACAAACATCTTCACTGTTCTAGTTTGTTGGACCGACTTGGTCCTATTTTTGACCGTTTTTATGTCATTCTCGTACTTTTATGATGAGATGTGTCGAAATGCTTTACTCATTTTTGTTTTATTTTGTTTTCATTTTGGGTATTATCTTATTATTTTTTGTACCAATTGTTATTATTATAACATTATTGGTTACCTTTTCAGTGAATTTTTTATTTTGTGACAGGTGTATGGTGATTTAATAGTTGTGTTTATCTTTAGTTTTGTTTCTGTGAGTTCAATTATGCACCATAGTGTTGATTTCTTTCTATTATTATTATTATTTTAATGTTTCTTTTAAGTTAACGTATATAAAAGTGTCTGATGTCTTTGATTTATTTTATTATTATTTCATTAACTATTTTTGTTATTTCGTTTATGATTGCTTGGACTATTTTTTTTTATCATTTTGTTCTTTTATTATTTATTTAATTGAATACAAATTTTAAGTTAAAATGGCCAAAGAGAAAATCTCTCCATCGGTTTTGGAGGACTCCCTATTTTAAAAAACGGAAATTTAGTTTAAGTTCATATTTTTATTTGTTAAAATTGGTCGATGAAGAATTATCGTCGATTTCCAAGGCCTCTCATGTTAATAAGATGGGGTTTTATTTTTAAGCTATTATTTAATTAATTAATTTTTATTCATATTTATTTATTATTAACACTTTTACTAAGTGTGTTTACAGATACCTGAAGTTGTTTTCTATTGAAGCTATTCGAACGGAGTTCAAATTATACTCTTTGTTCATTATTTTGTTTATATTGACGTTAGACAAACTTACGCCATTTCTTATATTATTGTTTGATTTTATTATTTGTGTATATCACATGTTTATTATATTTGTATATTATTTTTATCTTTTCCTCAATTTGAAAAAATGAATTCAGTCGGGAACCACTGTTGTAGATTTCGAAGGATGTCTTACCCCTTCCTTTAAGAATAACTTGAACCCCTTACCTAGAATCTATTGGTTTCATGGTTATTTTTTATTAATTAATTAACTGGTTTCCTAGTTTTCCTAAAATTAGGTGGCGAGTTCCTTTAAACCCTTTTAAATTCTTTTATGCTTTAAAATTGACTA